TTACGCTAACATTAGCCGTTCAGTAGTTATTCAAAATTCAAAATTTGGGGGCCCCCCTGCCCCCCCCCAGGGGGCTCAGATTTTTGGGGTCTATGTCTGAATCGAATGTCTATAGGGTAGAGATGAATCCCTGAAATTTTCATGCTTCCTTCCAGAAGTGCACGATTCTTATGATATTTTCCACTTATCGGCCCCACTATAGGCAGCATCTCGTAGATAGCTTCGCACCAAAACGTGGACTCACTCCAACCTAGATCTAATGTTTCCTCATTCGATTTTGAGATATAGCTTAGTTACCTCGGATACGGGCTTTTCAAATTCAATGAGTGGCGTAGAGGACAAGTGGGACAAAAACAGTTTTTGCTACCTCGAGAAATGTTTGTTAAAAGTTTCAAAATTACATCGAGCCCAATTGATTATGGCCCAGATATAAAGCCCAGTTCCGCTACTGAGGCGTTGAATGCAGAAAGGGCATTTCTTGGTTGCGGTTTTTCGGAATTTTCAGTCCTAATTTTTACTTAAGAGCGGAATCCATCGGGTAAATTTTCTGAAATTTTACGTTTTCTGCATTGTAAAGTTATAGAGAATGTTCAATAAAAATTACGAAAAGGTACACATATTTGCTTTAATAATGGATGAAACGTTAAAGGGGATTTTGGGACACTGCAGCCAAGAAATGTCCTTCCTGCGCCCAAAGCTTCAGTTGCGCTCATTGTCAGATAGTGCAGCGACATTAAATGGGATAAAGAGGACTCGTTATAAAGGACTCAAAGACAGCGTTATCAGTTTACTTCTTGTTTAATAATTTGAGCACGCTGGCTTTTCAATCCAAATCATAAAATAATGTAATGTCGGGTATTTCTCACTTCCGAATTAGAAACGTCCGTTACCGGATCGAATTGGAAGCGGGAAGCGGGAGCTGTCAATATTAGCATTCCTCGGAGGGGCCCCTCGGCCAAAATCATCAAATCCATTCCGGTCCAAATTGTTGAAATCTTCATTCGAATCAAAATCATCCATTGGTCTCCCAAACTCATCCACGGGCGGCCGGCCAAAGTCATCAAATTCGGGTCCCTGTTGCGGAAACCCTGAGTTCTGCGGACCGTTCCTCCCCGGCGGGAGGCCTTGAGAACTGAAGGGGCGTTCATCCTGCAAGGACGGCGGTTTTTTAGGGGTCGTCGCCCCTGTTCCGGGTCTTTGGGGATCGAAGGGGACGCGGCCCGTGGGCGTCCCGGGTCTTTGGGGATCGAAGGGGACGCGGCCCGTGGGCGTCCCGGGTCTTTTAGGGTCGATGGGCGCGTCGAACGCGGGAGGTGGGCCTCGGGGGTTGTCAAATTGGGATTGTCGACCCGGTGGTAGGTCGTCTTGGAATGATGGGTCACCATCATCGAACTGCTGCTTGGGCGGTACCCCCCCTGGGGGAGCGAACTGCTGCTTGGGCGGTAACCCCCCGTTGGGGCCGAAATCATCGTCGCCGAAATCATCGTCCTGCCCGCGCCCTTTCGGCGGTAACCCGAAGCGATCCGTGGGTCCTGGCGGTGGCACTCTCTGATTTTTGAGGGTCTCCGGCCCGTCAGTGTCGTCGTCGTCGTCTTCCGTCCTGCCGTTCCTGTTCCCGGCGGGAGCATCGAAGCCCCCTCCCGGAAAGTCGTCTTCCGCGAAGTCGTCCCTGCCACCTTTGTTCCCGGCTGGAACACCGAAACCCAGTCCATCTTCCTCGTTTCGTCCACCTTTCCTGGAGTACGGCTTCTTGGCAGATGATGGCCTTTTCGGAGTGTTGCTTCTCGAGGGGGTCTTTCCGCCATTTCTCGAGGGTGTCTTCCCACCCTTCGAGTATGGTCTACCCCCGTTCTTAGCTCCCCTGCCCGCGGCCGGGGATTTTCCGCTCCGGGACGGAGTTCTTCTGCCCTTGGAAGACGAGGGTCTGCCGCCTCTGCTTGTCGAAGTTCTCTTGGGAGTTTGGGAGCCTTTGATTCTCGCGGGAGTCTTCGCGCGCTTGGCGCTTGGACTCTTCCGACCGGATGAGCTTTGACTTCTCGTGAGGCCTCTCCCTCTGCCGCTCGATGATTTCAGAGCCCTCGGCGTAGGTGACTCTTCGTCATCCTCAGAAGAGGACTCCTCCTCTTCATCGTCCTCTTCATCGACCCATTCCACACACTCGCACGTATTTCCTTCACATTCTCCCTTGAGACCCCTCTTAAGGCTCAAACAGTGCTTCGAACAGTTGGTTGCATTTTTTTTTATAGAGCAGTTGGTTTTATACTCTAATCCGTTCCGCCCTGAAACATAAAATTGTTTTTATTTACAGTTATGAAATACACGAGAAAATTAGCAGTATTTTTCGCGCAGGGAAGTGTGAAACGTTGTAAACTTTAGATCGATACTACTGTCATATTTGGTACAATCGACTATGACCGAAAATCTGGGAAATGCCCGATATGGTAGTTCATCAATATCGCGCGTGGCCCACACGTGCAGTGGCATACATATTACCCTTGCCAACCCCTACGGGTGGGGGAGGGCTGATCAGCATTGCAAGGGGCGCAAAATTGAATATAGGACATTAAAAATCACTCCTGATCCAAAGGGAATGGAATCCACGGTGGCGGCCAAAATGGGCCGTATTTACGAGAAAATTGCCCTTATTAATTCTCGTTGCCACATGAGGTGTCTTTTTGTCAGTTCAAAGGCTCAAGAGACACTACCTCATAAAAAATCGGGGTTAAGGGCCCTTGAAACAACCCCTAAAATTTAAATTTGTGAAGAAAACTCACATACACGGTGTTTCTTCCTTATACCGGTCGGACGCGTTTTTACGAATTGGATCTTCATCGTTTAGACGCACCAGTTGCTCTCCTTTTAAAGGTACTGTCGTTTTTTATATCTGAGAGCAAGTGCCGACTAACATCATGAAGAAAAATTCCAAGAGTGGTGCATCCAATTCAGACTTTGCCGCCTCAGTTATTCAAGCGTTTTTTGTTTTCCTATTTTTTATCAACTATTTTTAAATTTTTTTCTTTCTCTTTGGCTATATTGTGATACGTTTTTACTTTTGTTGTTCTTGTAGTTTATGGTTCGTAATTTTTTATAAGCTGGAGATGAAGTTTATTCTTAGAAATGCATACGTAATGTAATAAATCTAATTCAACAATTCCGTGGTCTGGCTATGTCATCTTCCCCTAGTCATTTATGAAACAGCTACCTCCAACATTGTACCAAATACCTCCACCTCAACCCCTGCACATGCCCGATCTCTGAGTCAGCCTGCAGCTATGTCTCTACGACACGTGGTTGAGGACAAACGAGCACGAGCGGTGCATGCTAGGCACTCAAAATCAGCGCAGCAAGTTTGAGGATATGGAGGAGACGCAGCAGAAACAGCTACCTTCAACATTATACAAAATGCCTCCACCTCAATCCCTGCACATGCCCGATCTCTGAGTCAGCTTGCAGATGTCTCTACGACACGTGGTTGAGGACCTCCGACCGCATTCTGAGAACATCCTGATTCCCATGCTAGCTGACGAAGACGAAAATGTGCAGAAAACTGCCGTTGAAAGAATTTTAGCCGCCGAGAACAGCTCTTCAGCGATGGACGTGAGACCGTTCAGAATTCCTCCGCTGAACTTCAATGCGTCGAATCACACAGAATTAATTGACTGGGACAAGTTAGAAACCATCACAGTGCCTCCACTTTGTCTGGAGAAGAAACAAAATATTTCAATCATGGTCAGCCCGAAGCAAGGATTTTCAAGTTTCCTTGTCATTCCCAGGCCGTCGAACGCCGTGCGCAATTGGTGACCGAAGCTTCCCAGCAAGTTTACGGACGTCTGCAAGAGATGGCCATGTGCGAACAACTTTATTGGACCGTAAAAATTTTACCTACTTTTGAAGCAAAACGTCAGTTCAAAGCCGAATAAAGTCGCCATTTTCCTTATATGTCAAAATTTAAGAGACCTCGAGTACTGTTTCCCTCATCACAACACCAGGGGAAAACAAAACTTTTTAAAAACGCCCAAAAAATCTTGTTTTCTTTGGTTAGTCCTAAGCCTGAAAAAAGTGTGAAGGGAAAGTTTTGAAGTGACTCCATTTTCTTATAATTTGAGAAATTGCAATCACCTATACTTGAAAATATCAGTCTTAAAGACAGATTGAAGATTGCAACCATGAGGAAAACTCGCTAGTCAAAATGTGAAGGATGGGCTCTTCGAAGTCACGGGGGATTGAGAAGTACGTCGCCGAATTATGAAATGGAGCGTCAACGACTCGTTTTTTGGTAATGACTTGTGAATGGAAAATCCCGAAGTCACCCGTGCCGTTACCGTATCTCTGGTTAAAGATACGCAAAAACCAACGAAATTTTATCCTTCGACGTTAAATCGTCAATTTCAGCTGAAATTCACAATTCAATTGCCCGAAAAATCGCATTTTGGATTTACCTAGAAAGCCTATACTCATGGAAAACGTCAAAATTCGAAAAATGTTACTCCTGCTTTTTTATTTGTGACCTTATGGGGCACCTAATTTCGCTTGCCCGTTTGGATCCGACACGTTTCTTAAAAAAACGCTCCACCTTGGCGAGTGGTGCACGCCGACCCGACCGCCGCCCATGTTTGAGTTAAAGTTAGGGGAGGGGTTTTCGTTTCAGGAGGATGGAGACTATTTAGCACTCTTCTTAATTTTAGACTATATAACATATCGTGAAATGATGTATGATAAAGTTTAGTGGTTTGATTATTTCTATTCCGTATTCCAGGATGAGTGATTCGCACGAGAAACGGAGCAAGCTAGACGACTCCCAACCGTCGCACAACCTGAGTAAAGCACTATGCATCCAGATAGAGGTGTACAGGGACGGTGAGATCTCTTTTGGGGACTCAATGGATGGCACCATCGGCCTGTTGTTGGAAGCGGAGGCGCAGGGGCTCGGGGCGCGGGTCCGTGCTATAACGGTGCTACTATTTAGCAGTCGATCATTCACATACACTGCAGCACGTTAATGAAATGTCGTTTTCAACCCACGCTTATTATGCAAGAAACACAATCGCAACGACAAAACCTAAAAAAATAAAGCAATACGAAAAGTTGCAGACAACTCGAAGGATTATCGTTAAAGTATATTAATGTAATAATATTTGCATCATGAGAAATTATTAATGCCCTCCTCCGCTTCTAACTTTTTTTTGTGCAGAGGTCGAAGTCTATTCCGACGTTAACATTCTTCATTCTGACAGCGAGGAGAGCGACGGAGAGAGAGATCATGAGTATGAGGAACTCTTTGAATCGCCCCAGCGCCCATGGCGCACGACCTGCCTCTATTCATCTAGCGTTGAGAGTTCACTTATTACTTCACACGACCGGTGTAAACACCGGTGTAATTTTAAAAGTTAAAAAAAAAATTAAAAGAATAAAATAAAGAGATAAATTACACGATATACGATTTTCTCGGCCAGGGAGGTCTCCCCGCAAGAAATTGTTCACCACCCGCCCGCGTCGGGAGCGCCGCAGCGTGCTGCAGCTGCCAGCACGAAAAGCGCACTGACGCAAACAAACCTAAGTGGCTACTTCACGCATTGCGCAATGCTTGAGGTATCCCATTACGTTTGTAGGCGTCAGTGTGCATTTTGAGCTGGCAGCGGCAGCACGCCGCACATTGGGACGAGCCCATTATAGAAACGGGACATCTACGGTAAAAATGAAAATCATTAAAAGCAAAAACGGAAGGTACAGAAGTTACCTGGAGGGTCTAAACTTCCAGAATAACGAAGGTTTTAACAATTTAATTGAAGAATATCCAAATGACAGGCCTAGAGAAACGCGCGTTTCGGGAAGATGAAAAAAAAGAGGTGAAAGCGCACGTATACGAATGTTGCTCCCCTGACTTTCTAGATCTAAAGTCGAATTTCCTTCATGATAAATGAATTCTTTACGGTGTGAATTACCCCGACAAGATATGCATGTCTATAAATATTTATGTATTTTTCTATTTATATTCATATTTATATATTAGTTTTGTAATAATTAAACATGTTGTATTTGAAACTTTGCTTTGATGTTCATGTGACAAAAACTGTCTTGCCAACACTTTTCGTTGATGTGACAGAGAGAACAAAAAAAAAGTTTACCCTTAGACACTCACCGGTCAGACTTTCACGAGATAGTTTTCGCCTGGAGGAGTGTGAGTGCACAAAGACAAAAAATTATACTATTGAAAAAAACAAAACAAAAATGTTAGCTCTTTGTATGGACATTCTACAAATTGCAATTTAATTTGAGTATGAACTTTCTACACCTAAGTAAGTCTCAATTTCTCCTAGGTCTCTCATTTGAAACTTAGAAGTTAATTCTTTTTTCACTTTCTCAACTAGTTTTATACATGGCCCTGTTAATAATACATCATCAACATATATAAGCAAATATACAATGTCTATTAACATGTCTTAGTTCAATCGTAAATATTTGAGATTTTTTATTCACTATATTATGTGCACAGGATTGCGCTTGTTGTATTGTGTCCTTTACGATAGGCCATTTTTGTATTGTCATTCTAAAGCATCGCATGTAAAAACATGTGAAGACCTTGGATTAATGGACATCGTTAATAACGTGATATAACAATTTAGTCATTGCGGCAAAATTCACGTTTTCTTTAGGAAACGTTACGGGTTTGCGTTTCAGCAGGAATAACGAACGCGAGGAAAGGATCCTATTCATTATAAGATTCTAGCGGAACCAAAGGTAGGAACCATATGACTGACGAAACCACTCACGTAGTACAACAAAAGAATGACCTTACAAATTTTCTTGCGGAGAAATTTTGTAAAACTGGTTTTAAATTAAGACAAAAAAAAAAAATGATCGTGGGCTGATGGGATACAGCAAAATCATCAGATTCAAGTATTCAGTTTTTGACCTTCCACACATCACTCGAAGAGGCTGACACCTAAATTGTGTTTTCATAGCAAAATTAGGTGCAGAGGTGACGAACATTTTTTCGCCTGATACCGATGTCTCTTGATTATCGCTTTAAGAGGAAATGCCGCTACTAACACTAAGTGCGGGTATGTTCTATGGTCCAGGCAGCAACAGCAACTTTTAAAGTTCAATATTAACAGAGATAGCCCCTTTGAAAAGTCAGTTTTTTGAAGTCATCCACCGCAGTAGTGATACCCATGGTTCATTTCTCTGTTGTTCGATCAGTGATGCAAAAAACGTAAAATATATGTAAGTAAATACGCACGCAATGAATGTATTGCAGTGAGGGTTGAAGAAACCATTAAATCCCAGAAACTACGATACAATTGCAATACGCCTTGATGAGTGTACATTCATCACATATAAAAGAAACTGAAGGGAGAAAGAAAGGGATCCAGTACGTTTATTGAAGACAACACGTCACACAGGTTTCCTGGGATTCTTGTGTAATATCCAGTGTATATTAGAACTCAATGAAGAATTGTGCATACGAGAATTGCCAGTGCTGCAATTCCTCCCTGCTCACAAGTTTTCCCAGGATCACTTAGAGATTTTTTTCGGGTGAAGTCGTGTGTGCGGGGGCAATAATACACAGTGAGGAACTTCTGTAATGCGTACAGAAAAAATATCTCATCCACATGGAGCTTAAAATAGGCCGCCGTGGAATTTGTGTAGACCTAGAGCACATCTCAATTTTGACTGATTCATCCGTCACTGCGGCGCCCGAAAAATTGATGAACATCTCTCTACAAATGTTTCTCCTTATTATAATACAGTCTTTGATAAACTTGAAAATAAATTTGACATCTTCCGTATAGCAGAACTCACTAACCAATACATGACTTCCCTTTTGAGGAATACCAATGATCCAAAGGATTTTAACTTTACTGTCTGTAACGAAAATTGTGTTTAGTATATATCCGGCTTTGATGTGAAAATTTGAAAGGAAAAAGTTAAGTGCCCAATTTGCATCGCTTCCATAATTGGCGGAAGAGGATATGGGAGAGCATTGTGTCGCTACTCAAAGCTCGAGGCGGCTTGAATCATGCATCAGAAGATGCGTTTCTGATCACTAGGCAATCTGAAAAAGTACCGTGTATTGCATTCCTAAGGGGTAAAGTTGAGAATTCACAGAAACAATTTTCTTCTGCTGCACTTACAAATTAAGTTACATATGAAGACGATGCAAATGAAACCGGCGATAGGATTTTTAAGCAACTGAATGACCACCTGCTTGACTTAGATCCAATGCACAATATCAAGTACCTTTTGATAAAAGCAATCGTCATGAAGTACATCCTGACTCGAAAAACCTTCAAGTGCAACATGGCTTTCAACAAGGAAGTCTCCAATAGGCAGATTTTCATGAGTTGATTCTTTTTTTCCGGTCGATAGTTCTCCTAGTCTTCAACCTCCGTTATGCTCACATGCGCAGTGATTGCTGTTCCCTATCGTTAAGATGCCTATTTTCCTTCCTGCAATCTCAGACACGTAACTCCCTTTAACACTTTTTCAAAAACTACAATTTTTTTTATAAATTTCTGCTTCTCACCTTATCATTTTTTTTTCAAAAGTAGACGTGAACGCGAAGAATTGTTTTAAAATGTTGCAATGACTTGGTGCTCATCGAGAAGGGGTGTGCTCTTGAAGTTTCATTGAGTGGTACACAGTGCACTGTTCATCCATTCCAGTTTCATGAAGTAATTTTGCATTTGCCACTAACTAAACTTGTTTCATCTAATTTACTTTTTGCAATACGTTTTTTGAGTAACTCGTCCTCGCTGTTACTCGTTTTCCCGGTATGACCGACCTGTCATATTGACTCTAATCTGCTGTGCGTCAGCGCAAAGTAGGAGACGGATTCAATGAGTTCGAAACAATCAATGAGATGAGTTCAGAACCAGGCAAAGAAATATTATAAACCTCTGCTCCCTTTGTAATATTAAGACTGTTATTAGTTTATACCTGCAGGAGGTCTCCAGGATTTTCGCCCTCGATTTTTGACACAGATGCACGCTCCTTCATCGCAGTTTCCACGTAAATGGCGGTTTCGGAGTTCACATCGATCATTGCACTCACTAAATGTCGACCGACTGCATGAGAAGGTTTTGAAAAGGCTCTTTTGTGAGGCTTTACCTAGAAGTTATATAAAACATCATTTCAAGCAAAATTGTGTTGAGCGCCTCCAGCTGAAGCAATGTCGTTAATTACGTACTCCTCATCGCAAATCGTTGATCATAGTTAAAAATACAGTAAAATCGAAATCTGTTCAGAAAAGTTGCTTATGAGAGTAAAAGCAATATAAATTATCGTGGTTGACAATTACTGTGTATTTTTCTCCTGTTTCACCTGGCCTGTTGCTGTTAACACTTAAAATGACTGAAAGACATTTTAAGTGTTGATTTTGAAAATGATCTCCGTATTTTTGGATCAATACGGCTTTGCCGACAAAAATTGAAAAATCCCCTAAAAAATTTGGGTTATCATGGGCAAATTCGTTTTTTTGGATTATTGGTGCGTTTCGGGAAGAAACAAAAGTCATTTACGGAATTATCGGCCAAAAATACAATTTTCCAGTCATAAACCTTGATCTGTTCACGTATCTCCACTCCATGTAAACATTTAACTGTCTAGCGTCGATAAGGTTGATGAAAAATGCCTATAATCTATAATGTCCAAGTGTTCAATTAGGCGATTCTTGCCTAATTTTCATTGCCGAGGCTGAAAAGTTAGTTTTCCCCGCAAAACTTCCAAAATTTGAGATTTTATTGTCATGTTTTTGTTTGTTTGTTGTTTTTTTTTTTTTTTAAAAAAAAAGGAAGGGGGGGGAGGACTTTCCGAGCTGGAGAAAGGATTTGGTACCACAATTATCGCTACAAATATATTAACTCTGGTGTGAGCGGTGAAGTATCGCGCGAAATTGAAGGCGTTTTCCAATGATCACAACAGTTTGACGCAGCCCACAAGAGCGTCTGTCTCGTGAACGGATCAAATAAAACCGCATCCCTCCCGGCATTTCTTGGAGAGCAAGTAAGGATCCAACAAGATACAATACATTTGAGAGAAAATTGGCAAAATTATATTCAATATCCTTATTCCACGCAATAAAGTGAGTCAAGCACGCCAAAAATAATGGGTGTCAAACATTTACAACCCTCTTAAAAACACTTAATAAATCGGCGGAAAGCGTGAAAATGCGCTTCTAAAATTTCACGCGCTGCAACTTCCTCCTTTATGACAACATTTACACGAGACATGTTTTAAATAAGACCCAATCGCTGGGTTTTTTGTGTTTCTCTTTTATTTTTATTAGTACCAACATGTAGAATTAAGCTTGTTTACGTGTGTTTTAAGAATATTACCTTCCTTTACGTCTTTGAGACTGGGTCCTCTAAATGGGTGGTTTATTACTTTCAATTTGGAATGACGATCAATAGCAACGATTCCTGAATTAAAAAACAAACAAACACAATTATTTGGATGTACAAAATACGAACGGATCAGGTTGATGACCCCTACATTCTAATTCTAAAGCTTCGTTATTTGGAAGCTCGCTCTCTTATCTCCTCGTGATTTCCTTTCAAACTGGAATTAAAATCGATTATTTAAATCGGGACAATCCGTTGAAAAACTTTAGCCCAAATTAAAGAAAATGTGCAATCGGACTTACTTCAGTGTACAATACTGACACCTTTCAATTTTTTCCAGGGTAGAAAGTAGAAAAATTGAGCTTGAGGTTGAAAAAAATAAGGAATTCAATTTATGAGTAGAAATAATAATGTTCTTTCCTTGAAGGAAAATTCAATATCTGCGGCTAAATTTTAGTTGCTACTGGGCGACTAAGAAGCGTATAAATGAATGTATTTACAAAATACGCACAAAGATTCTCATACCGCATTGGCATCAACAGTACCACGTTTAACAGAAAGGAACCAAGCCACATCAGCTATTGCCAAATTTAAGGGGTTAATTAAATTTTTTACGAGAGAACGTTTGTGCGGATTCCTTTGAAAATTTTAAGGTATTTGCCTCGTACTACGGAGAAAATTCACTGAAATTTTCACTTAAATCCGCACAACCGTTTACCATGGAAAAAATTAAATTGCCTGATTAAATTTGGCAATAGCTGATGTGGCTTGGTTGCTTTCTATTTAACGCGGTCCAACAGTAGGCTGCCCCACAATCTTCATAAATAAGAAAAACCTTGGCTTGGAAAACATAATTACAAGTCCCACGATTCCACTGGTTCTGCATGCCCTACAGTGCCGTGAAAATATATGAAAATCTCATTTCTTAAACGACATACTTAGTGCGACACAAGAGGACGATGGAAAAATTATGATCAGCTCATGCCAAGTGCAATATGATGAAGAACAATGCTAAAATAAGAGAAACAAAGCTAAAAAAGGGGGAAATAAAACCCGGAACCTTTCGGCCGATTGCGCAGCCATTCTCTATCGAACGAAAATGAAATTAAGAATGTAAAATCCCCGTAAACCGGTATAACATTCTAGAAAATAATTTTAATTTTCAAGAAATTAATAAATGAACATGCAATTGATAATGCTGTACCTGAGTAACAATAGGTAATTTACAGCAGATTAACCTTGCAGGTTTGGTTTGGTGTACCATAAGGTTAGTATAGGTTGATTATATTAATTTAAATTAGATTTTATTTTCGTCCGATTGGATAATACTGTGTAAACGGCCGAAACGTCTATATTTTTTTGTTTTATACCTTTTTTTTGCCTTTGTTTCTCGCATTTTAGCATTGTTGCTTATCTTAATCATAAACAACCTGAACCGATCTTTATGTAAACGGCTTTCAAGTTTGTGCTTTATAATACAGACAAGGATTACCTACAGGTGTAGGAATGAAAATTTGTCGACTTACTCGAAGGTTTTGATTTAAGTACGATTGGTCCTATCACAACATCAACAGTACATAACACAATAATGAGAAAAATATTCAGATCCTTGAAATTTCTAAAATAATCCATTTAACTTTTGGACTATGTTCTGTCGGAGAAACAAGTTTGAGGGAAAAGGAAACTCTTGACATGATTCAGCATCGCAGAGGACTAAGGAACTATCGCAGCGGAAGAGTTGAAATTTTAAACTCTGGAATGGAGTGCGTGGTGTCTAGCCTGTGACATGAAGAGGCGACACAGTAGCGTGCTCGTGATTTTGAAAAGGGGGGAAAAACACGTCTGATGATACACAAAAACGTCACTCATGAAACCGTTTGACTGACGTAGAGATCGCTAATTGAGGTTCGGTGAATCACAGCCTGGATTGCATTACTTGCGTTTCCAAAGTGCAAACGTGCACCTTATCGTGTCAATCGGAGGTTCACCCTCCATACATCGAGGACATGGAATCGAATGGGTTGGCGTCCATCAATTTGATACATAACATTCAACAAGAAGATCTCTACACGAATTTGCAATTTTAAAAACATTAGGTCCATATTATACTCATGGGATACGCCCTCAGGCTGCTAAGCTACCCAGCTCCTAGCTATCCAAGGACGCTTCGTGCTTTTGAAAGACTGCTTCCTGGGTCATATTTTAAAAATTGCAAGAAACACAGGCTTGTCTCCGCATGATATACCTCAAAGCCGATAACCGTAAAGATTTTGAAAATCGGCGCGGTAGAGCTCTAGAACGGACTTCAAAAAAAAAATTGAATTTATTTTTAACCAAAGAGAAAGTTCACGATTTCATCGCGTAATACTTAAAACCCTGTATCATATTTTAAAATTTAAAGAAAGAGGGCTCATACATTCATAGGAAATTTGTGTTCTTGTGTTACTGTTGGTAAATATAGGAAGTGAAACACAATTCAACACGAGATAGGTGTTAATTATGGTACAGTTTTAGGTGAATTCAGCGCAGAGGGCAAAGAAAAGACTGGAAAAATGCATTCCTCCGATTGTGATGTTGGAATGAATTACTCGTTTCTACACTGCTTTTTTAACTTTACGTGTTTTCGAACTTTATATTTAGTTAAAAAATAACCTTGGAAATGTTCGCATTAAAGCAATTTTTTTAACTTCCAGGAAAACATGAATCAAAGCGAAAAATACCGCATACGATGTAAATGTGATGGATGAAATGCTTTCATCCACGTAGTCAATGTAAGTCATACCGTTGAGTGGTCTGTGCCTTAAAAATACATAGACCGACTCTTCCACGTAGTTGGTTAAGTTTGGTGGCCGAAAAAATGTCACTGTAAAATGGATGGAAAGTTCCATAGATTTTTGCACGTGTGAAAATACAGACAGCGTCATCTCAATGACGTATTTAAAGGTGAGCAAATATGGTCGACGTAACGACTCATTTAGCATGCGTCATTTGCACAGATTCAAAGAAAAAAAGAAGAAAGAAATAAAGAAAGAAAAAAAACCGACGTGATGTATAAACTACCACAAAATTTTAGGGTGCTTTGTTTCCCCACATGTAAAAAAATCACCATGTATAAACAAGGGATAATTTAGGTGCACTGGGAAAAAAAACACATTGGATCCAGAGTCCAGACTCTTGAAAACATTGAAAAGAAAAAATACTCTTGATTCAATCGGATTTTTGCTTGAATCAAAACGAAATCCGCTTAAATTAAGAGGCTTGGTTCTTGATTTAAGCCAGATTCTGATTGAATCAAGAGTACTTTTTCTTGTCGATGTTTTTAAGAGTCTGGACTCTAGATCCAATGTGTTTTTTTTCCCAGTGTGCGGTAATAAATCGACGTTGAAACTGCTTGACCGCGCATCTCGTTGGCGGGATTTCAGACAATCTCCGAAATCATTTGATTAACTTATCAAAAGCAAACGAACTGACGTTATTGCTTGAGATTTTTACGGTATATTTTTTTACGCAGCGAAGAAAAATTAGGGGCGTCTCCAAGAAATGACGGTGAGTATTTTTCCATTTAAAAAAAATTAAGTATGTTAGAATGTCTTTATAACGCCGCAAACCGCGATACGCGGGCCTGCAGGCTCACTACAGATGCATGGCGTATCGGATGAAATTATAATGTAGTCTGATGAAATGATAATGCTTAAAAGAAATCGTGTCGTTCGCGTAAGTAACAATTTTGTAGCAAAAAGCGAATGACACAGTCAGGATCTTGGCTTTCATTGTGATGTTTTCAGTCAAATTATCGTTGAGTTAGGAATGAAAATGTAAAAAAAGGCACATCTACTCGTATCTGCTTTGATTGCGCCCGTTTTACTTCAGCATTATCTCCTGTGTTAGATTTGAAATAGATCGCTCATAAGGTACCGATGGCGAGATCCTCGATGAGTTTCAGTCATTGTTTATGTTTTAGTTGTATAGTTTAAGTCATACATTAGGATTGTACCGCTGTGTCCAGAAAAGGAAAAAGGCTGAGGTTCGAACCCTTTTTCACCCACATAGGCTGAGCTGAAACATTGATAATAACAATATCATTATGACGCAGGAGTACGAGCAGTATCCCATCTACAGCTGAACCGCCAGTCCACCCAGTTCTGGATCCGAAATTGCAGGAGCGCCCCGAAAGGGGGATAGCCATTTTCTTAGCGACCGAGGCTCTGCCATATAGTCTGGTAGAGCGACCAAGGCTTCAGCGGCTGGTTCAGAGCCTTTGCCCGGGCTTTAAGTTACCCACCAGGCTAAGGAGTTCTAGATCCAAAATTGCAGGAGCGCCTCGAACGGGAAATAGCTATTTTTTTAGCGACCGAGGCTCTGCCATATAGTCTGGTAGAGCGACCAGGGCTTCAGCGGCTGGTTCAGAGCCTTTGCCCGGGCGTTGAAGGGAAATCCGGCGTGCTATTTCACTTCTGAGCCGATTCCAACCCGGGGCTATATTCTACCCTCAGCATAGGCGTTTCCAGGTCATTTTGCTAGGGTTTCAGAGAAACTGTCAAATAAGACGTCCATTGAACACATTCGTATTGCCGTATGGAATTTCGCACTGAATAAACTTAGAAATAGAACGACTCATGAGCATCGTGCTGCGCGTGTGTAGAACGAAGATGATGGATCGATTTACGAATTTCAATCGATTCCTAGGAATAGGTACTTGCCGTCATGATATCACAATCACGCGCTCAAAAATAACTCAAACATTCCTCCCGATTTTTCCTAGGAGCAAAAAATTAACTGCGTCGGGAACGCTTCAAATGTACAGCAATTCGTTAGCCTCTTAATTTATATGCAACTAAAATGTTGCATTCCGCTAGACATTTTCACAACCCATGGTTAGTAAACTCCACGTAAATGTTTACAAAGATGAAGGAATAAGGCACTAGAACCGATATTCATGTGAAAGTGACTTAGAAGTTAAGGGATGGTACTATACTGTTAAAACTTTGGGAGTGAAATTCGGTACGTTCACTCCGGGCTCGATATAGCGTCCACACACTCCGCGAGGGATGGACAGTGAAGTGCAATTTACATCTTGAGAATGTACTATCGATTCCGCAAAAAGAGTTAATTCCTGTGCGTAAAAAAGTAAAGTCACTCCGTGAAAGGAGTAGATTGCGCTGCGAATTCAAATTAATCACTCGGATTGTTCGGGTGCTAAGTAGCCTCTCAAGTGACTCCACACACCGAATCCCTCTCCTATTTCATCTTTCAGAGTTTTTGATGTTACAAAATTTCAAAGCTGCTGCAAAAATAAAACCAATAAAATGACTACATATTTCATTCTCCTTGCCTGTGTGGTTGTTTAGGAGAGCATTAGATCCCTTACGGTCGAATCGTGAAAAAATTCCCAAGTTCCAATTTCATGAAAGGAAGACTCACATTCTTTAGACTGAAGTAAAATGGTCTTGAGATTTCACCGGGGCGTTCAGAAATACAATGACGAAAAACCTTTTCAATGTTTATTCATAACTTTGTTTCTTTACAACTGAATAAGTAATGCATATTCGTCGGTAAATGAATTAAATAAATACTTAATAATAACTTACATTTACTGAGGCTTATCATACACACGATTATTACAAAAGGGCTTTTAACACCGTCTTGAAGACTCTAGTATACAAGAATGCCTCTCTGAGGAGAGGAAGCTGTACTTCACACGTTTCTACATTGAGAGGCTGAAACATGAGTGTGTGTCGGTATTGGTGTGAGGAAATATTAAACGAGTGCTATGAAAATTGATAAACAAAACTGGTGAATGATTTGGAACTGCGCTTAGTCATATACAAGTTTACGTTAGCTGACATTTTAAAATTTATTAAAATAAAGGCAGTTGCTACCTAAAAAAACAAACAAGTATGCTCTTCAGCATTCGCCGATACAAACGAAACTGAATGAAAATTGGGAATAACAATACAAGTTAAATGCGTGAGTAGTAACTGTTGACTTGAGCAAAATTCCTATAAATTTAAAGCAATTCATCGCCATTGTACACTGCGGCATTAGCCGCACTCATAATTATCTCACAGCACTAAAACAAAGTTAACAAAAATTAAAGCCGTACACTACACGTGTAGCAAGTCGGCGATCTCCTTAGAAAACGTTTGAGAAACACTGTCATGTATCGGTTACATTGATCCTCAAGTGAAAATTATTAAAAAGTTGGCACATATATTTTGAGGGCAGGTGTCAGTGAGGCATCGTCAACGAAAAGCTGTATGCTTCACTTGCAATTTCACACTAGTCTTTTGTGCTCCAACGGAGTGCTTTCAATATTTTGAACGTGTTTTAACGATAAAAACCATACAAATAGATTAAGACCACATAATAGGAACTGCCGGTGTTGTATTTTTTTTTAGTGTAAAACCGTTATCAAGCGTCTCTTTTAAGTAATATCGGTGGCGGCAATGGCAACTTAGTCAAACCATTACAAATTGATTTATTTGGCTACCCTCTGAGAGAATAACACTGCATTGAAACGTGTGTTTCAAGTTCTGACATACTTCTAAAATCGTCGATAAAAAATTGCATCACAGGTAAATAAAATTCTCCAGCACAAACTACTGAGCGATTGCTTAAAGACCCTCCTGATATCAGTGACTTAAAATTTAATGAGTTGCACGTACGGTAAAAAATGTTGACGATACATTTGCGTTAAGGTGTACTTGTGGCGTGTTTTTCGTAGGGCTATTCTGATAGATAGTACGAGTACGAGAAACATCACAATAATTTACTGTTAGATTAAATGAATTAAATTTTTCTTCTCACTAACGTGACTAATTACGTATATGAACTGTCCATCGAGTTTGAAGTGAATTTTGACGCTGGAAGTTGATTGGAACAATTTTAATTGAAAAGTGTGTAGATAATCGCGCTAACGATGATGATATATTTTTCATCTGCCTGTCGTAACCAGTTGTTCACTTTAAATTGATCAATTATAATTACTGTTTTATGAACGTGGGTCTCTATTTCAATTTTGTTTGTGTGTTTCTATCCGCGTCTAGTAGAGTCACTGTTACCAGGTAGAGATTTCGTTTAACGAGGGTGTTTGCATTTCTCGTTGAAAACTAAGTTACCAAAGTCGCACCTTCTATTCGCTTTCGAGGGTCGAACCGCCACGCTCGTATCACATTCATTGAAAGACGTACGGGTTGGGTCCCTGAGGGAAGCTCCTTTGACTTTGAGGGATGACATTGTTGGGTCGCCTGTGGAGCAGAGGGATGTTGACCTCCTCTGGAGAGTGGAAGACTTGATTTTGGAGGGCCGGTGTGCTTGGGTTGAACTGCAGGGGCTGTCTGCTGTATTGCTGAGGAACTGGAGTTACGGCGACCGGTCTGAGGAGAGGTGCGTTGTAGCCTTGTAAGCCCTGAGGGACCTGTTGGGGAGGTTGCCGTCTGGGGGCAGCCAGGGTCTGAGGTTGGGGACGGGCTTCTACGCTTTCTTCTTCTTCGCCCTCGTAGTAGTTTTCTGGGTAGTAGCGGTCGGCGTACCTCAGGGATACGTTAGGTTTCGTCTGGGCTTCCTCAACATTGATCGGTCGGTAGAGGTACTCGTTGACGAAGTGGTACTGCGAGGACTGTTTGCAGATGTTGTCGTGGCTGGGCGGCATGCAAATCAGGTGCACCTGCCAAATAAAAATTCAATGAGAATACGCAATTTTTGCGATAAATGCACGGAAAGACGGGGTAAAAATTATTAGACAAGTTTCACTATCAAATGTTCATTTGGAACACATTAAATATACGGAACATTTACGAATTGAACTCATATTTAAGATATTATTACATTTTGCACGAAATATTACAACGCCAGGCTCCGTGAGACTGATATAAAACAGAAACAAGTAATCACCCTACTATAAACACTGTGGACTCAGAATTCGGAAAAACTTGAGCAGAAAGTAAAGAATGATGACACGCAGTTCTACAGCATTCTTACAGTATGCGCCAACTGATCGACTACACTGCGTTTCGCGCAGTGCGAGAAGTATTCATACAGCCTTGTAGGCGCTGATATGGGCCTGGCGGCCAACCGCACAGTTTGGTGCAATGCATGAAGTATTCCTACAGTCTTGCAGGGGCTAATATACGTTTAACGCCCGCCGCACTGTATTTGGCGCGATTATTCGAAAAAGCGAGATTCATCGCAGCATCAAATAATAGAGCTTAAAAGGCCCATGTTGTGACGCCGTATGAGTATACCAACGTTGCCTTGTTTCTCTCAATTAAATCTTTTTTCCGAGAAAAGTTAGGAAAGTTCTTCATAACCATGACCATTTTTCAATCTTTTCACTTCATTTACCATCAGAAGGTAAGACATCGATATGACTTGTCAACGATTTAACTTAAACGAGCATTAACATATAAACGCGTGTATCTTCCAACTGCTTCCTGTTTTGCCAAAATTCAACCTTAAATTAACTTCATGTTAAATTCGTGCATTCAAGTAGCAGGTTTTTATTTGCGCAATCCTTGTGCCTTTTCCGCGCAATTCTCATATAATTTCTTAGACTTTTCGAGCAATCCTGGATTATTGCACGCAAAAAAAAAACACTTGGATTTGAGGAGAACACCCATTGTAGGGTTCATACAATACGATGGTTCTAGCGGCCATACAGCTTACATTAAATCATTGCTTCTATATATTTTGAAAACCCGCTGAGGATAGCATTAACGATCACACACAAATTGGAACGAAATGAGGAATTCTCAAGAATCTCCAATTCAACTATTTATTGAATAATTTTTCCTGTATTTTCGCGGATGAAAATAAAAAAGGAAAAAATAGTTTTATAGTAAGAATTGAAATTAGGGAGAAAACACTTTTATCACTGCTCACAAAACGTCCTTTTAGTATGTTTGTAATGTCACATCGCTCTACGAAGTGTTGTCACGGGTACTGCTCATTTAATAACTATAAAATTTATGTCTGACCCTTTCTAAAAAAGATAATAATAAAAACAAAAAATAAAAATTGAAAAGTAACTCTTTGCTCGGAAATTACTTATTCGACTTACTTTTGGCTACATATTATGATCGAAACTAAAAGCCTCATTGTTTCATCGAAATTTTCAAAAGAGAACATTCACGTATTATTCAAGACCCAATCAGGTAATTTCTTATTGGACATGCTTAAGGCTGAAATTTTTGAGTAGACATTGATGAGAGATACTTTACCTGGTGGAAAAGGAAGCCTTCTGGGCAGATCCATGAATGGCGGGCGCTGTCTTGGCAGTAATGGAAGACCTCGCAGTTGAGTCCTTCGTCAGCGTAGTATCCAGTCTTTTTACCAGCACAGTTGAATTTACTTTGCGGCAAAAGTTGAGTGAGTCGGTCAGGCTCTTCTTTTTCTTCCTCTAATTCATCTTCCTGAAATGATTAAATCAATGACTCCATTGTAGACCAAAGTGATGAGGAAAGTGTACAAGAGAAACTTTTATTCAGTTCCAGTTCCACTTTTCCAACCATCATCATATACATTGCCGTGAATCCAATGATTTTTGACATATTATGTAACTCAAAATCCTCCACATCACCTCATAACAATGCTCATTGTCACGGTAGCAGAATAATCATACCCGAATACAGGCACAGTGACCAATACAACCTACAAAGATCATCAAGATTTGGCACTCGCGTAGATCCTTAACATCACTTGGTTGTAATTTTTGATGGCAAGAATCATCCAGACAATAGAATCAATCATATTTCCGATCCTCAATGTTATTTAGATTGCAAGGCCCGTTATATAGGTTTTCAGACCAGCGCCCATCTTCTCCCAAAATCAATGAATAAATGATGAAAGACGATGATATGATGAGAAATATTACTTGTAACTAGGCATCGTAAATTTATTGATGACGCCGGAAAAACATGTCAACAGCTGTATATCCTAACATTAAGTGACCATTTTCAAAAATTGAGTACCTTTATCTGCGGTTTAGCGAATAAAAAAAACTGTCTCTCGATGAAAGCCTTCTTAGTAGAATTCAACAGCCTTATGACGAGCAGACTTTAAGTATCTCTCAAAAATATTAGGTTGCAAAATCTCAACGGCGCTAAATACTAACATCAAGTGATCTTTCTAAACATCGGGTACCTTTATCCTCAGTTTGGCGGATTTTGTAACACACTCCTCGATCATGAGAGCAACGGAACTGTAAACTTCAAAAGCTCAGTGACTAACAGACTTGAGCAGCTCTCAAAAACATTAAATGGCAATAATTAATAACGAGAAAAGAATGTTTACGAGCATGGCCCATTGGCCCTAGGTATAAAATATTGAAACTATTTTCAGTAGACAAGAATGCGAGCAGTAATAGCCCGTGCGTTACAGTTGTTACGATGTAAACGCAGGGCAGGGCGGAGCGTTCGCTCACTGCCCGTTAATTGCACGATGTACGTGATTAAACATTCATGAGAACGATCAAAGGCGAAAGGGTTCATTTTATCTGCGCCGCCGCGCCGCGCGGCGGCCTGCTTTATTACTTTCACTTTTTATTACGATTACGCGTCGTTAGAATTGTCCAAGTCTTACAGTTTCTATTTAAAAACCGCACACATAATTTATGCAAGACGTCTGGTCTTCTTTCTTTGTTCGGCGGTACATGCTTCGCGATCTCTCCTCTTCAGTTTCCATCATCAAATCCGCGCGGCTTCGGAACGATTTGGCGAATCGCGAGGCCGACTCATTGCTCATTTTCTTTCGGAACGGCATATTCCCACCCGCTTTTGTCGAATTCTCAAGCTCATGATCGAGTGGTCTCCTGTCTGTGACTGATACATCATTAGATAGTGAGAATGTAGATACATCAGCTAGAGAGTTAATAAATTGACACGCCATTTCAACGGGAAGAGAAAAGTTGACAAGTTTCCGGGAATACAGAGTTTTAACGAGAAAAAATGAGAGTATGTTCTTGACATTTTCGGTCCTTATTCTTTAATCATGAAATTGAGTCATAAACAATTAAACACAAAAAATAGACGTTTTCAGACGTAAGCGAAATCGAGTTTTTTAGTTTATTTTAGCTTTAGTTGAAATTGAGTCCTACTTGATTTCCTTTGAATGATGTTTTGTTTTTGGGGATTAGAAACGATGTTATCTACTAAACGAGAGGACATTTCCATCAAAATCTGAATGACTGGCAATGACACATTTATACTTAAATGACTGTTACGCCCCATTGGCGAAACTGCCCAGTTCGGAGACTGGTAACTTTTTTGTCCTGTTCCTGGACAGGTCGCATCCCTGTTGAAGTCTACGAACTGGCCGATGCGATGTTCTAGTCCATTCCGTAAACTGGGCAGCCAGTCTGCGGACTGACCGTAAACGTAAATTTTAACTGCAATCCGTGCGCTAATCAACGAATGTCCCCAACAGACGGACTTCTGACGAATTATTCGCGAGGTCCTACGCCTTTCATTTCGACCTACGAATACTACACTGATCACGAGTTGGTTGTAGCGCCTTGACGCAACTATTCGTGTCTCGCAGATGTGCGTGTGGCATGTTCAAAATTGAAGGCGCTTTCGCTTTTCTTACCGCTTCAGGAATGCACGAGAGTTGTCGTCCGGCATGGTACCCGAATAACAGCGTGCCCATGTGGAGAAACTAGGTATTGCATCTCAATCCTTTCACTAAAAAGAAAAAGTGCAGCTCTCCGATTGGTCAATAATCCCGGCTTACATGGATTTCCTGACTTATAACTTTTGAAATAATATCTGAGAAAAGTTTGATAGATATATCCGCAGAGAATTATCCTTGTGTTCCTTCTGTTGGTTCCATCAATGTTTCCCTCAATAAAACGAATTTCTACTCGACAGTTTTATTTACTTGGATACCGGGTTCTTTAAAAAAATTAAACTGAATTAAGAGGAGAAGACTCGAAGTAGGGACGAAAAAATATATGAAATGGCAGAAAACTGGATGACTTATCATTAAAAAGTTGAAAATTTAAATACTCTTGACGGGTGCCGAAAGACTGATTAACGTCTACATTAAACGTTGACGACAACTTGAAATAAAATAAGAAAAAAATCGCCTTGCCCGAACGATATGAGGATGATAAAACTAGCAAGTGTGATCTTTTACTTTCGTTCAGCCTTTGCAGAAATAATTCATAAATAAGCTCTGAGCTCTGCTTCTTAGACAAGCGACTGTATGTTTGATTGTAGATATACGTCGAAAAAAAAACGCTCGTGGACTTTTTACGTTTGCAGCCATTGCAGCTTTTGCTGAGAGAAAACGTTAAGATTCTCCCGTTTGATAATCCGAGCAGTGGATGATAATTACCGTTGGTTACTTTCACGGCCGTGTATATAATTACAGGCACATTCTACCTTAACGCATGGGAGATGCTACATGCACTTACGCACAATTATACATTTTTTTCGGTGGCAACTTCTCAAACACACAATCCCTTCGAACCATTCTCGTTCCACACAAGAAGATGTTGTGTGCTTTGGAGAATCGTGATGATCACGAGGAATTGAATAAACATTTATTTTAATTAGCATACTTGGATCATTTCAATTCATGGAAAAAGACAAAATATATATCAGTTACTTTCTTTTCCAATACTATTTTACGGTATATTTTCGGTAGCAACTTCACAAACACACAATCCCTTCGAACCATTCTCGTTCCACACAAGAAGATGTTGTGTGTTTTGGAGAATCGTGATGATCACGAGGAATTGAATAAACATTTATTTTAATTAGCATACTTGGATCATTTCAATTCATGGAAAAAGACAAAATATATATCAGTTATTTTCTTTTCCAATACTATTTTGCTAGGTACTTGAGGAGACGTCTCAAGCTGGCAAAGCTTTGCAAAAAGTTAGCTGGGTCAATCACGACTCAATAAACTTTTAATTTTGACAAAATAAAAACAACCTTGACAAGGTTTTTCAGGTAAACGAAAGTCTAAAAGTTCAGAAGAAAAAGTATAACATCAGAAATCGAAATGACAGCGTATATTTGATGATGCACTGGATTCCCCATTGAAAAGAAACGGATAATATTGGCACCTGCTTCCCAAGAGGCTGCTGGCTCTCAGAAAAAGTTGAAGTCATATGCGGTTACTCAGTACCAGTAAACCCCTCATAGAAACATTTTTTTTTTTTTTAGCAACGCCTTCAGCCATCAGCTTGGGAATAGAGAACTCGTTCATAGTAAATATTAGTGGGATTAGTAGGAGATAGCACATATTTTGCACCGAAACAGAATAATTTACATTAATCGGGGTCCGCCAATATTGTCCTTAATAATCTAGTAGCATCTTGGTTTTATACAAACTTGTTTTGATTTTATCTTATTTTTTATTCCAGACATTTGGATCATCTAACCCCTGCGGCGTTGGATAAACCAATAAAGCGAGGGAACACTTGCTGGTGACAGCTTTAGTCTCTCAAAATTAACAAGCCAATGAAATATTTCCATAGTGAGATGCCATTTTGTGGCTAGGTAGAAACGGCTAAACTTTCTCACAAATGCTCTTCCTAGTTTACTTATACCCTTTGCATGTCAAAACGAATACTAGACCATTTCGGCGAGCATCAATTACAACAATTTTAGCTATATCACAGTATGGTTGGACATTCTGGCTAGGGATCGTACCCATGATCGAAGCGTGTGTACCGACCTGCATGGTCTTTCAACACTTAATTCCCTGGAAGCAAAATCAATATATCAAACGCCTGTCGAATATTAAACACGAGCTGCAGATCTCCAGCGTTGTCGCAATATCGTTGAGCTCTGCGATGACGTATCCCTCATATAAGTTGCTTTTACTTATTATGAAATTCTGAAACAATACCACCTTCATGCTGAGTAGTTTGCGCTCAAGAATGCCACTTTAATGAGCCATAACTTTGAAATCACGGGACTAGAGGAATGTGTTGCACCTACGATACGTGGCAACGGCAGGAACCATTCACTAATGACGTCCTGCACTGGAAACTGAGGGAGGAGGCTGATACAGCATGAAAAGAAGGGGGGCGGGAGGGTTTAGACGAGTTATGTACACTGGAAAAAAACACATTGGATCTGGAGTCCAGACTCTTGAAAACATTGAAGAGAAAAAATAATCTTGATACAATCAGACTTTTGCTTAAATCAAAAGGAAATCCGCTCAGATTAAGAGGCTTGGTTCTTGAAACAGGCAAAAATCCGATGGAATCAAGAGTATTTTTTCTTGTAGATATTTTTAAGAGTCTGGACTCTAGATCCAATGTGTTTTTTTCCAGTGTAGTTGCGAAATGTCGCGAAAAAATCCATCCGAAACGCACATTTTGGGAATGTTTTTTAATAGTTTGAAACGGGAATTTTCTAATATGTAATTAGGGCGGGAGGCATCGAGCAAAGTGTGATGTACGTTTAAGGGAGAAGGGTGAAGACGTGTGCGTGATGCGCGTGGAGAGGGGAGAGGAGGGATCTCAAATTCTGAATTTTAGGGTGACGTAATTTTCGAAAGGCCCCTTCCACGCAACTGAAATCCTGGAAACGAATTGGCGTCCACGGTCGAGATGGGAGTACTCAGCACAGTTAAAAGCGTCGTATAATGTCTGGGCTGCGTGATCTACACGCGACTACACCGGTAAAAAAAAGTGTTGCCAAAACGCACTCGACAATTCAAAATATGACGCAGAATCCTATTAAAATTCGCGTCGATAGGCATGAATGGCAACGGTGCATTGAAAATGGTGCGTGTGGTGCTTGACAAGTGAACCAGCGTCGCGACGCCCGGAGAACCGCAGCCACCGACGCAACGGGCAAGGCAACCACTTGGCCAGCGGGTCACAGTGAAGGGGGGGGGGGGGGGTCCAAAATCTGCCACGGGGATAGTCCGGTCTCGATGCTGCGCAACGGTTAGTGTGTTACTGCGGCCAGTATTGTAAGCTTTTCAGACGAGTGACGTAATTAGTGATAAAGAGCATGATATCTGATGCTATTGAAAAATCAAACTGGGGCGGCGGCACTGCGCACCTGGGCCCAGACCCGTTGTACCAGTTGCCAGCTGCCCCACATACACTGGAAAAAAAAACACATTGGACCTAGATTCCAGACTCTTGAAAACATTGACAAGAAAAAGGACTCTTGATTCAATCAGATTTTTCCTTAAATCAAAAGGAAATCCGCTCAAATTAAGAAGCTTGGTTCTTGATTTAAGTAAAAATCCGATTGAATCAAGAGTATTTTTTCTTGTCAATGTGCTTAAGAGTCTGGACTATAGATCCAATGTGTTTTTTTTTCCCCCAGTGAATGGTATCATCCTCATCCCCCAAGCAAAATTCCAGAACAATCTTGGACAATTGGACATTGAACGATTTCGTATGAGTTAGTTTGATCGGAAAAACCACAAACCACCGTCTTCCGTATGAGAGCAAAAAAAAATATTATTTTGCTCGAAAGGCATTTTTTTCGAGGCTTAATAATACAGTATGTTCATTAACATGAAAGACTTCTGCCGTCCATATTCTTAACACCGCTTACTTTTTTGGCTACCATTATTTTACTTATCGAATTTCACGAGCAATCTGAGAGGATCAATGATATAATTAAATATCTTATAAGCAATAACAGGATGCTCTTTAAAAACGGGAGAAAAGAGGTGCTGATGATAACATAGTATACGGAAATAATAATGTATACTTTGGTACTGATTAGAAACACTGCTATGTATGGAGGTAAAGGAGAAGATTTCATGACGCACAGATTCCCTATTTAATAGTTTCTACTTGATTTTTGACACAGTGATCCTGATGGGCATAATTGGACCATGAAGTTAAAAATGACATTGAAGTCCATAATTGGACTTCATTTTGCAATAAGGAACTATAATATCTGGTTCGTCCGTAAAAACCACTTATGTGCATGGGGGGGGGGCTAACGGTACATACGCTGTTTCTTAATTGAGCCAGAAGTTGTATTTCCCAATGGCTAAATTGACCACATTTTGCAATAAGGAACCACTATTTCTGGCTCATTTTATAAACATCATAAATGCCTTTGGTTTCCCTCTGCAGAAAGGTGCTTTTATGGACATAGCGGTTCCTTACTGCAAAATGTAATCCAAATGTAGTTCAACTCTAGTAGAATTTACTGAGCGAGTACAAAGTTACCATAATATCTGTTGTTGATTATACTTATACTCGCATAATTGTGACAGGGTATGGTGAAATTGACGCACGTTTCTTTCCGTGTTCTCGGTTTATTTTATGAAGACAACACCCACGTTCGATTTCAAGCCTTCGTGACTCAGTTATGGTCAATGATAATCCTCCAACGCACAGACTCCGGCCGGTGGTGTGGCGTATTTTGCGATGTATCGATTGAATTGTCATTTGAACCTATGGTAAAGAATCGAGTATTACGGTGTTCGCTGCGAACACCCTGTTTATCGATCCTTTTCCATAGGTTTAAATGACATTACAATCGATAAATCGCAATTCACGCCACGCCACTGACTCAGGCGTTTAAAAATTAATAACCAATGTCCGCAACGTTGAGCGAATTGCAAATATTATCGAGGAATAGTGGCAGCGAGGGGTCGGGTGGTCTGCGTGTAGCAACATTCTTCTGGCAGGTACGGGCGTCCTTGATCCGGTCAGTCCATGGGGACTTGCTCTTACTTTCGTCGGCTCCGTAGAAAGTTGATCTTTAGCCGACCAGAATCACACCCACATCTACGGTAAGCCGACCGGACCGGGTTATTGGTCCACCATCAATAATAAAACGGATAACCGTACAATATTGATTGCATAAAGTCTCGCGCGGCCGGCGGTCCGCAGCCCGGATAATCCCCGTATCACAGCTGTTCTCTCCTCGTGAAGGAGGTCGGGCAGCTGAGCGAATTTGTTATTTCTTTTTTTTTTTTTTCATTCTTTTTTTTCGCAACTTCTGGGATAATGTCCCTTTCCGTGGAGGGACGGCATACTCGCAACCGACTCGGATAATTGCTTCATCTAAAGCCGTCATTAAATCGTTTTGGGACGATGCGAATTGACGGCAGATCGTTAATTAGTGGGGAGAGGGGGAGGAGGGAGGGGAAGACAGATAATGGAATTATGTGCAAGCCAAGGATTTGCGTTAAATATTATCTGCATACTGTTTGTTGTATCTGCATACCTTTGGTAGCTGCATGGCCTAATTTCAGAGGGATTTTTGTAAATTTTTATGAAATATGAGTGCCTGAAATGCCAACGAGAGTTGGAAGGTCAGAAAGGTATATTATATACAGGGGAGGGGGGTATAAATAGAGACGAACGACGATTTATGTTAAATGCTATCTGCATACTGTTTGTTATATCTGCATACGTTTGGTAGCTGCATGACCTCATTTCAGAGGGATATTCTTAAATTTGTATGAAATATGAGTACCTGAAATGCCAATGAGAGTAGGAAGGTCAGAGAGGTACCTATATACAGGGGAGGGGAGTATGAATAGAGGCGCGGACGACGATTTACGTTAAATACTATCTGCAAACTACTTGCTGTATCTGCATACATTCGGTAGCTACATGGCCTGATTTCAGAGGGATTTTTTACAATTTTTTTAAAAATATGAGTACCTATAGTGCCAATAAGAGACGAAAGGTAGGAAAGGTATGTACAGGGAAGGGGCGTATAAATAGGGTAGGGGATATTATCTCTTGAAATGTAAGTTGTACAGTTGGATGGATTCGAAATTAAGAACTCGTATGAGAGGGACCCTGGAGCCATTCACAAAATACGCGAAGCAGACTCGTAATAGTGATTGATTGATTTGGGGGCGATTTAACATTTGCTATCCGAGTAATTATCAGAGAATGATCTTACCGCCAAGGATTGTGGGTTACGCTGTCCATTTGGTCCTTGGGGCCTCCTTGGCTGGTACTCGTCAGCAATTTGTTGTGGTCGTTGTGGCCTCAACAAAATCTGAGGTTGCGCTTGTGGAGGTGGTGGAGGTCTCGATTGGAAGGCCTGGAGGAAATAATCAGGAAAAAATATTAAATCTTTTGACCATGGAGACTTTCAGCATATAATTGTTGCAAAAAAAGTGAAGATGGGTGGAGAGAGACACAAGTAATATTGTTCCGACTTCTTCTTTTTACAACATCGATGACGACTCAATCGTAGATTAAACGATGTTCATGAATGGTACGCATGGCTGGATGAAGTAATATCGAACTTTGGAAACGTTTTATCTGGAATAATTAGTGGCAGACTTGGCAACACTGCACAAGTTGCATCAAAAGAAAAGTTCGAGTTCAAAGATTGCACTGTGATAACAGTACGAAATTTCGCGATTGATGTTCCTACACCTATAATTTTTATTCCTTGTATCGATTCTACTTTGTTCTTTAAAGTGGCTGCTAAATCCTGTGAAATAAAATTAGCACTGCTGCCACAATCTAATAGCGAGCGGCAGATTTCTGTACGTCCGTCGCAACCGATAAGGCGGACACAAGCAGTGGATAGTCAGGATGACTCGGACTTGGAGTAGAGAACTACTTCTTGATTTGTAGACTGTGGTAAATGCAAAGAAGTATGCTTTCTGGAGCACTCGTAACATGTTCTGACTGAAGAACATTTTTCCTCATGTTTTCTCAGACAATTTAGGCATAATCCAAGATTTTTTGCTTTAACAATTCTACTTCTGACAGGCATAGACAAAAATTCAGGACACTGATAAATTTTGTGTGCTTGATTGCAAAGAGGACATCGAAAGCTATTTCCGATTTTTGTGGAATTTTTAAGACTCTTACCTTGCTCTCGCTGATCATTTGGCAATGTTGACACAGTCAACGCTCGCAATACCTGACACCGTCTTTCCAAAAAATCAAACAATTGGCTCTTAGTTGGGCATTCTTTTTTGGGAGCCACTTTTTCCCATTCACTCAAAGTCTCTTTGTCAAATTTACTAGTAATTAAGTAAATCAAAATCGGATCCCAAGTTTTCGTTTCTACCTTTAATGTATCTAATGCATGACAAGCCTGTTGAACTTGAATAATTAATTTACGAGTTGACTCTTCTGTACACACGTCTGGCAAATTAACTAGAAAACTGACATGTTTATCCACTATGACTCGCTGATTATCAAAATGCTCTGATAACATTTCTAACGCTGCTGGATAATTTTCATTTGTTAACTCTAAATTCTGCAATAGAGCAGCAGCATTTCCTTTTAAAGCAGATTTTAAATAAAACAACTTTTGAACTGAAGAAAGAGACCTATCTGCATGAACAATGCAGTTGAACATTTGCCGAAAAGTCATCCAGTTCTCGATCGAACCATCAAATGTTGGAATATTAGGTTTTTTCAAGGAGGAAGTCCTTTGAGCAAAATTGTAGCCGTGTTCACTCACATTAGTGGATGAACTGGAACCCCAATCAGACAGTCTGCCGTTGGCAACTGACAACACACTGAAATACAAACTCTCAAAATTGCTTATGTCATCAGAAATTTCTGCATCGCTGATGTTGGAAATTTCGTGTACAATATTTAAGTATTGAGACAAAATGGGCGTTACGGCACTAAGTCTCACTTTGAGCTGTGACGTGTCGGCTGCATTTGGGGCTAAATAATCGGAAAATCTTCGTAACTGACCTTCGTACCTTAGCTTCGTGGCACTTAACGCATTAAGCCGCGCAACCGTACATTGGGATTCGTTATCCGACATGTTATAAATTCACAAAAATACACAGAAATACGCAAAAAAGTAGAGAAAGCGCCGACTAGGGGCGAGAGAGAGTGCCAAAGGCGAGAGCGGGTGCCAACTAGGGGCTATGGAGGGTGCCAACTAGGGGCGAGAGAGGATGCCAACTAGGGGCTAGAGAGGGTGCCAACTAGGGGCGAAAGAGGTTGCCAAATGAGGGGCGAAGGAGGGTGCCAACTAGGGGCGAGAGAGGTTGCCAAATGAGGGGCGAAGGAGGGTGCCAACTAGGGGCGAGAGAGGTACATAAACAATGAAAAAGACATGAGAACAAAAATGACAAATGGGGCCCCAAATGGAAGGAAAAATAAAAGAGTTCAAATCATATGATCAAGCACCAAGATGCGGTGTAGAGAGACGGAGTGAAGGAAGGTGAGCTAGGCGCTGGGCGGAGAAAGGAGAGGTAAAGAGTCTGAAGAAATGTCAGCTGAGAAAGCAGGAGCACAGGTGCCGTTTATAATCGCACAATCACAAGTCAATACTACGATGAAACATCTTAACAGCCCGGACAAAAGCGGAAAGTGTTACTATGGCGATTCGCTTTACTTCGCTATTTCGGAACGCGAAACCGGCGATCGGAGGTTAGAGTGTTGACGTGCACGGAGAGCACTCAGCTGATGATAAATTCATCGAATAAACTCATAAAAAATGGGTTTGAAGGTTATGAGGGTTATGGGTTTTCAAAGTTAAATATTACCAAAAATGCACTTAAACGAACGATGACGATGAATCCCAAGTCTCGCGTCACTAGACAAGGTCAAATCACGTCGGGGTCACCAAAACTGTAGGGAAAAGGGGGAATGGGAAGGAAATAAGGACAAACCTATCGGGATCAGAAGAGCGTGTATGAACGTGAGAGAGAATCAGAAAGACAAGTGGTGGTGCGTAACCATAGATACATACAAGAGATATATACATGATACAGTCAAAATCGTACAAAGTTTCCTCTCACGACAGATCTCTGGACTGTTTCAGCACTCTTGTGCCGTTTGGAATTTTTTTAAGCATTTAACACAAGTTCGTGAATGCACTAAAAATTTTCAAGACGGACCTGTACTTCTTCACCCCGGAACTTTTGAAAAAAAACCTGCGCACGAAAGTTCCGAATTCCGATATATTTGGTACGTGTCAGCTCATTCTACTTATTTACCTCGGCACTTTTGAAAAACAAATCTGAGCAAGAGAGTTCCGTTTTCCAGTATATCTTTTGCCCAAGTCAGAATACTACTTATTTACCCCAGAACTTTTGAAAGAAAAACCTGAGTAAGAAAGTTCCGCATTCCGGTATCTTTGGTACATGTCAGCTTATTCTATTTATTTACCTCGGAACTTTTGAAAAACAAATCTAAGCAAGAGAGTTCCGTATTCCGGTATCTGTCTCTGGAAAAAAAACCACATCGGATCTAGAGTCCAGACTCTTAAAAACATCGACAAGAAAAAGCACTCTTGATTCAATCAGAATCTAGCTTAGGTCAAGAACCAAGCCTCTTAATTTAAGCGGATTTCGTTTTGATTTAAGCAAAAATCCGATTGAATCAAGAGTATTTTTTCTTGTCAATGTTTTCAAGAGTCTAGACTTAAGATCCAATATGTTTTTTTTCCCAGTGTTTGCCCAAGTCAGAATGCTCCTTGTACACCCCGGAACTTTTGAAAGGAAAACCTGAGCGAAAAAGTTCCGCATTCCAGCATCTTTGGTACATGTCAGCTCATTCTACTTATTTACCTCGGATCTTTTCAAAAACAAATCTGAGCAAGAGAGTTCCGTATTCCGATATACATTTTGCCCAAGTCAGAATGCTCCTTATTCACCCCGGAACTTTTGAAAGAAAAACCCGAGTAGGAAAGTTCCGCATTCCGGCATAATTTGCCCGCGCCAGAACGGCAGCACGGGCGGGACACGCTTTCATCGACAGCTGATGACACTCGACCGGCGATTGTTCCGGTCGACGGGCCCGAAACCGGGAGCGGTGCCGCGGGGCTGCAGGAAACGAGACGAGCCGAGACGTTGTTTTTCGAGCTGGTAAATCGCAGCTCCACTCCATCAATCATAAAACCCCCGCCGCGGCCGCCGAATCCTCGTCTCCGATTTAATTACCGTTGATAAAACTCGCTTTGCCACGCGAGGCGTGGAAAAGCTCGGCGCCGCGAGCCGCCGGTCACACCTGGCGGCGCGGTGATGACCGACCGACGCCTCCGCGGAAGGAAGCTCGGCTCCGAGCCACCTTTGCCAGATCGTCCTGAAAAATCACTCGAGTTTCGTTGTAAATTATGGTGATTTTAGTGCGATTTGGGAGCTGCGCTCCTGGCTGACCGAAATGCGGAAACGCCGCTCCGGGCTCTTTCCCGCTCGCGGTTCCTGACCGATTCACGTGTCTCGCTGACCAAGCTTTGTTGCGCGGAGGGATCGTGGGAGAGCGTTGGAATTCCAAAACCACACGGCGTGTTTCCGCGTCGGAATTTCGTGCCGGGAAAATGCCATCGGAAATTATCATTTTTGAAGATCACCGTGTGTTTGAGAATGGATTAAAACTACACGGAAAACCGATATACTTGCAGGGTGTCTAGTATTTTTTCATTTTGAAAATTCCTGATATTTTCCTGATTTTTCTCGACTCCTGGCACGGTAGGCAAATGGCAGTAAGACTTTCGCCGCTGAGGAGAGTTGCGTAAGAAAAATTCTTGATAAAACGTCCGATTCTCCGATTTTTTCCTGATCGGCCAAAATTCCTGATATTTTCCGGTTTTTCCTGATACTAGACACCTTGACTTGGTGCTGAGCACTAACAGTTCAGATCAAATGGAGCCGGCTGATATGACAGTAGTGCTGAGACCTACAGTCCTTAGGGCTGGACCCTGAAGTTGTGGGACTAGGCGCGACCAACTGTCGTACTAGCTGGCTCCATTTGATCTAAACAGTTAGTGCTCCGCACTATATCGTTTTTTCCGTGTAAACCGGGAATTGAGCTCTTGCATGTGTAAAGAACTCGCGATTTCGGTAATTTTTCGAAGTGGAGTAGATGCAACACAAAAGGTGTCAGCTAAACGTAGTAGTGATGGATCAACACAACACTTGGGTCGTTTGTTTAAAATTTATTTTGACCAAATAGTCAGCTGAGCGTATCAGTGATTGATCAACACAAAATTATGGTCGTTTGATTGAAATGTATATCGACTAGGCCCAAATTGTCTTACTCTTGCCCACTTATAGCTATGACATGAGTGAGGAATTTGAGATTTGAGTACTTTTTTTTACTCAAACTTTCGCGACAAACTCGATGGTGCCGCTGGTTTTTTCTGAAAAAAAAAAACCCCTCCAACTTTCAAAAAAGCTCTCAAATTTGAGGCCATTATGGAGGGTTATTCGATATTATCCTGAGAGTCCACCTCTATGTCAGGTCAAACTCGTCATGCAAAAATGAAATACACAAACAGAAAATACACCAGGAGAGTTGCCGTTTGCCGTTTTTTCAGTTCTGGAGTCCCCCAAAAAAGTGGCAACACTATTGATGTATTTGCTCCATATCTTTGCAGGAACAGATTGAGTTGATATGAGGGTTGACTCTCAGGATGGCGTGGGATTCCTCTTCATTACGGCCCGTATTTGAGAGCTGTTTTGAGTTCTGAAGTATGTTTCAAAGAAAACCAGTGGCACCATCGTGTTTTTCACGAAATAATGCATAGGATTCAAGCCCTCCGCTCATGAGAGGACAGTAGTCTAAGTGAGCCAAATTGCACACTAAAATTTACCACGACAATCTCTGCAAAATAAAAATCTAGCAAACTTAGTGTTGACACTTTGCCTCAGCTACAGCATATTGTTTACACTTTGAACGATAAAGGGAGGGAAAGGAACAATGCTCGATTGAGAATTCTGCCGAACTGTAGTGAAGCGCGATTAGACTCACGTGGAGAATTGCGTTACTTGTGACCGGGCAATTCAAAATTCTCGTAGCCAATGTAAAATAAAAACGTTAATATCTTAAATGAGAGTTGATTTCGGTAATTTTCGATGCAAGAATCGTGTTTTACGTGAAATTCTAACTGCAGGACATGTATCAGAATGCTTAAATTCGTACCTTGTCTAATAGTCCATTCAGGACTCTCTCAAGACCGTTCAGGCGGGTGGATGAGCGAGGACTATAAAGCGTAACTACATAATGGCAGTGCTCCTATTTCCCGAAACTTTTTGTAGTTCCGAATTCCGGAACTCTTGAAATCCCGGAAATTTTCCAGATCTTTTCCATTTGCCGGAACTTCCTCGTAATTTTTGGAAAAATCCAAGAGGAATACCGGAATTTTTGACAATCATGGAGTGGGAGAATTTGGAACAAAAAAATTCCGAATTCCGGAACTTTTGAGGGAAATAGAACTAGAGGACTAATATATGGGGCATACATGCTATGATCGTACCTGAGGGATGGGTGACTGCCTGTACGGCGAAGGAGACGGTGTGATCGAGTTCCTTTCAACCTCTTCCTCGCTTTCTTCGTCGACGGGCGGTGCAGCTCTGAAGCCTTGGGGTGCCGTCGAGCCCAAATTGGCGTAGCGAGGAACGGGCCCTCCGAGGAACCCTTGCGGCTTGGGCGTGGGTGCTCCCCGGAATTGCTGTGGTGGTCCTTGGAAGAAAGCTGAGGACTGTCTTTTTTGCCTGCCGTCTAGTCCCTTGGTCAGAACCGCCACGGCGATAAGACATATGAGATGAATCCTCATCCTGAACACAATTGAACAAAAAATTGAATTAGTTTTTTGTTTGCTGTTGAAGATGGCTTTAATACACTTTTTATGATAAATCATTTGCGTCAAAAAGGAATCGGAGAGCACTGAAAAAAAGATCTCGGGGTATTTACTAAGAAAAGGGTAAAATTACCAAAAATTCAGGGTTCTATTTGATCCCACTTTTTTCTTGGTAAAATTACCATTTATGGAAAATAATAATATTGAATTTTCTCGGTAATTTTACTGAACCTTGGTAAAAATATTTGTTATCGACTGTGATAGAGTTACCGAGATAAAATGGCAAAGTTACCGGGAATTGATTAGCAATAAAAGTGGTATTCTTACCTCAAAAAAACAGTAAAAATACCGGTTTATAGGTAAGCTTACTAGTCTGTCTAGATAAAATTACTAATAATTGGTAAAAAAATGTGAGATGGTAAAGGTACCAACGGACCTTGGTAAAAACGCCGAGAATTTTTTTTCAGTGAGGTTAAGTAGCTTTCTTAAATTATATAACGCTCTAGGGAGGGAAGGGGATAACGAACACTGAAAAAAGGGCTCAAAGGCCGAAAGTTCCGGGTGCTGGAGCCGTAGTTGCGACTGCTCCGGGTGCTACCCCCGGGACTTTCGGCCTCTGAGGCCGGAACGCGGACGCTATGTCTATATAGCTCGTGACTACGGCTTCCACGGACGGAGTATTTTTTTCAGCGAAGGGGGGAGAGGTCAGTGCCAGGGTTACGTAACTCTTTGTATTGGTAAAAACACAAAAATCCAAAATGTATGATCTTCATTTCCTCCACGTTTTTGTCATTCTATCACTAAAAATACTTCAAATTTTATGAAGCTATACATTTAAGAGTTCCAAAAATTTTTGGGATCCTAAAAGAAAGTCGGAGGTTCGTCAAGCGATACAAAATTAGAGTGGGAGGGGTCTGGGGTTGTGTTTGTGTTACGAAGTGTTACAAGGGGAAAGGAGGGTCACCGAAAATGTGCGTGACGTGATTCATTAACGCTCCCTGAAGCACTCCAGCTATTATCTACATTGACAGTATTGAAAACAAAACCTTTGTTGAGATACTGATGCTCAAGAGAACAATGAGAAAACATAAAATACAACAATCTTAATACTACATTGACAGTATTGAAAACAAAACCTTTGTAGAGATACTGATGCTCAAGAGAGCAATGAGAAAATATAAAATACAACAATCTTAATAATCTTGAAAAAATAGTAATTTTGATGCTTCTTCATCATATCATAATTCTCAATACGGCATTTCAGAAAATGTTTAAGTTTAGATTTGCATTGGATCCTAATAATAACCATCTCATGTTTTCTCAGTTCTACGGTGCTACACAGAATGACTGAACAAGAGCTCCAAAGTGCGAAATAAAAATTCCATGATCCTTGCGAAAGTTAAGATTACGCCACGTAGGGTCTGCAGAGAGATGTTTCCTCTATCTCTCGAATTAAATTTAAATGCAGTCTTGACATTGTTAAACTAGAAAATGAAGTACCGCGCGAGTGTGAGTGCTTTTACGGCCGAATCGCATGTCGAGTGGCGGTGAAATTCGTGTTGAGGGTTTAGTTTCGATATTTAAAACAGAAGCCTAATGAGCACTTGGGCGAAACATAGAGCTGTATCAAAAGCCAATGAAAGCGCATAAGGCCAGTTTCGCGAACTGCAAAACGGAACAAACAAGAGAAGGCGAGAGATAGCTTTCACGAGTGCATACGTAGAAAATACTAGAGCAAAATTCGTGTGTCCGACGCTTGTACTGGAGAATCCACTTTTTCTTGCTCGTCTTAACTGCATTTTGATATTTTAAAATTTCAGCTTAATTTCCTTTATTTCATCGAAATTTTTGTTATATTAGTCCAGTCCAGACCATAAACGATCTCGTCGAAGACTATCTCCAGCTCGGAAACACAGACACTCAAACTTGGACACCTTAGCGGTATACGGACTACGGAAAACAATGTCTTCTTCAAAAAGTAATTAAGGGGCATTGGAACATTCAAAGTAATTGTTTGAGCGGCTGCTAAAAGGGGGAAATTTAATATATTCACAACATATCAGTGTTGAATCTTTCCCTCTTCAAGCAACCATTCAACCACTGATAAGAAAGTATTAGCCGGGGTATTCGAAAGACTAATTGCAATCAGACGGCGTCAGTGGCGTGGCGTGAATTGCGATGTATCGATTCTTCTGACATTTAAACCCATGGTAAAGAATCAATTATTAAGGTGTTCGCTGCGAACACCCTGATTATCGATCCTTTTTCATAGGTTTGAATGGAATAACAATCGATATATCACAAAGCACGCCACGCCACTGGACGGCGTAAACACGCTTGAGCTTATTAATAACGATTGGTAGGGTTGGCATATTTGTTGGTTTACCAGCCATATTCATGTAAAAAAAAAAATTTCCACGACAGTTTTATCGTTTTTTTGGGGCCAAATGTCTCATCACCAGTCGTTCCAAAAACAGTGAGCACTTTCATATTGTGATATAACTAAGGAAACAGAATTAAATCCAAACAAGCCGAAAGAATAAAATTAATGATAGGCGGAGGTGTCTGGTAGTTTGGTATTAAGCCTCGTAAAATGGATGCCCGGGTTTGTTTGTTTGGTTTTTCGTTTACGGCTTAAGGGGGCCGAGTTTAATTGACAAGAACTACGTTGACTTTGCAAAAAAGTCAAATGATGATTGATGTCATGCTCAAAAAATACCTTTTGTTCTGCGCCGAAAAAATTTAGTGCCGCTAATAATTTGTTGTGTTTCAATGCGGACTCAATGGCTACTCTCGAAATTGAGTGTTGAAGAAGGCAACTTAAAACTTGCATTTCTGCGTTGCAGGCGAAAGTGTCCTAGGAGCCATGCAAACGATTTCAGTTCAAAAGGGGGCTGACTATACGTGAGATATGGCGATAGTTTTAAACATAACGACCGAACGCATTTAATTTTTAAATTCTGGAAACTTAATTTCGAATTTCGAAATCCCGTCCGTGCAGAATGCACAATAATGAATGCGAGTAATGAATCTCGAAATGCACATACTTGAAAAATGAGCGAAAAACGAGAAGAAATCGTCCAAGCTTGTGAGAGCAGGGGGAGAAAAAATGTGACATGGTATCAAAGAGGTAATAGGTCATCAAATTGCACATTATGTGTACGTTGTGCAATATTTAAGTGCGTGGACAAAACATAATTTACGAACGCCCGTTAAGGCCCTTTTTCGCAGAGCATTCCCACTTGCAACCCAAGCGTACTGTATCGCTCCCAACAACGGCCATATGCGACCTAACTATCCCACCACTGTCTTAACCTTTCGTGACCTGCGAATCAGCTCAAACCACCGGCCATCCATCGTTTGTCCCTGCACGTAAGTGCTGAAGTTCATCAATTCTACGTCCTTACTAGAACATATTTTTAAAAACGATGGAGCGGGAAAGAAAACCGGCGAACCAAAGTCGGTCCGTCGTAAAATTACACCAAAGAGTTCGTTCATTGTTAGTTAAGTTATCAAAAACCTGTCGATCAGGTACGCACGGAGGCTTGCTAACCATCCGAATCGATCGGCTAAAGATCTCATCACGACATACAACGAGGGTTTGAGGCGACTCAAACGGCGAAAGCCATTTGATTGCGTCTCAGACCAGCTCGACGAATTTTTCTAAGCTAGAGACCAACACAAAGACAATGGCTTGGGCTTGTCCCAAAGGCAATTTATTTCATTATACTTCAATTATTACATTTTTCACTGTACTTATTTCTATGTTGTTCAGTTAGGCGGTGGCCCCTGTTCCCCCTTGCCCCCCCCCCCCTTGGTCCCTGTGCTCCCATCGGATGAGACTGTATACATTTAACACCTGAAAGCATCAGGGTTAAAGTCAACCTGAGTTGAGAGCAACAGCGTGGATGGGTGTCGGGGGGAGAGAGAGACGCGCATGAACTTTTACTTTTGAGACTACATTACAGAGTTGCAACAGTCAAACGCGAGACGGGTAATAATTATCCGAGCCTTCAGTGTCAGATGTTTAACAGTGGATCAGGGCTCCAGGTTGACTGGCGCTTCGATAATATGGACTTATTTCTGTTAAACGGAACTATGTGCATTGAGACATGAGCCCTGAGACCCGTAAGAATATATGCATAACAGGGCTCACGTCATAATGCACATAGTTCCGTTTGGCAGAAATGCGTCCATATGATGTAAGTAAAACTCCTGCCAGACGAGTCGGACTGTGCGTAATATCGCGGCGTTTTACATTCAGGTTCACGCATGATCTCGGGTCGATCTGCTGGCTTTGCCTTGCTCAGCTATCCACTTCACTCCATTTAATGACACTGAACTTGTTGATAGTGAGACAGACGTGGACTTGCGGCTACATTCTTCATCCTTCACTTACTGGCTGGGAACATGTTATCAATGAGATTACCTACTCTGCGAGCCCAGCCAATGGGAGGAAAGGAAAGTTAGTCTTAGTCTCGGCTCGCTGTAAATTCATCCCAGCTGTTTTAGAAGCCTGCGCAGTGCGCCTTTTATTGCTGCAGAAAGTTACCTCATTAATTTCTTCTTCAAACCGTCGTCAAAGGAAAATATGCCCTTGAATACAATGAGAGTGAAGACTATTTCCGTTGTCCTAAAAATTTCGATAGTAGACTCTGTTCAAAAATGGATGTAAATGGTGGTGATGGAAAAAATGCAAGTCTCAATTCCGATCTCAATTTCGGGTCTTTTGGAAACAGTTTATCTCTTCAATGTCTATGCAAATATTATCGAACAATTGCTTGATCACAACACGCATTTCAATTATAGCCTTTGCAGAAGATGAACATTTGTTTTGCTATCGATTCGTCTACTACTTAAAAGTATAGTATCAAGAGAGATACACTCCATTACTCAATCCTCAAAATTCAAGCGTTAGAAGAAAAAATAAATAGGTTAGAAATGGGTAATCAGTATTCATAGACCGAACAAAATTTT